TGTTTCAATGTGTGTACTTTGATGCATCAAATTGTAAGCAACTTCTCTAGCTTGGTTGTGAACACTACCAACCGGTCCAACATGAAGGTTAAATCTATCTTTCGCCTTCTTCCAATTATTAAAGCCAACCCCAGTGAATGCATCATCACCCACTTGATCAAAATTAGATTTGAAGAGATAACAATGAAGACAAAACGCAGCATCTTTAGCAATACTATATTCCAACCAATCATGCTCATCAAACCATTGAGCAATGAAGCGTCTATTAATTCCTGTTTGATTAGTTTGTGGGAATTTATAACTTCTAGGCTGACAAGGTCCCTTTTGTAGATATGCTCTTCGGATCTCATCTCGAATATTAGGACTATAATCCGCCATTCGAGTTCTTAGTCCAGGGTCTGCCTGAAGATTAGCTAATATTTCATCTACTTCAATTGGTCTTGCATTTGAACTACCCGGATTAGACGGAGAAGAACTATCCGTAGATAATTTTCTTTTAAAGAATCGTTCCATAAATCTACAAATCAATTAATTCAATCAATCACCCTAAACCCATATCAATCAATCTATTACCCATCAATATTACCCCCTAAACCCATATCAATCAATCTATTACCCATCAATATTACCCCATAAACCCATATCAATCAATATTCAATATCTACCAAATTATTATATCAAATATCAATCAATATTCAATATAATCAATCAAGCATAAACTATCAATCTACATTATCCATCAATATGAATTCATATCCACAAATTTCATTACAAAAAAAAAAAAAAATACCAATATCAACAATATATATTATCACTATAAATTTATTAATATACCCAATAATGCCTTGCTTACTTGTAGTTGAGAAAAAGGCCGGCGGACGGCGGCACAAGGTGGTGGTGATCGACACTATTCCACCGGAGAAGAGTTTATGGAGGTTGGGAGGTTAGGGTTTGAGAGGGTTGGACTTGGAGCTGTGAAATTGGGGGAATAAAGGGTTTGGAGAGGTGCTGTGCAGCAAAGGGATCGGGTAAGTAAGAGAGCTGTTGTTCCCCTTTTTAAAAAAAAAAAAAAACCTGGCCCAAAACGACGTCGTTTTGAGGCCAGGTCATTTAAAAAAAATTTGACTGAGCCTAGACCAAACGACGTCGTTTGGCAAGGCTGATTTTGAAAAAAAAATAGCGCAGCCCAGCTGCGCAGCAACAGAAAGAGAGGTTTCGGCTGGGACTTCCATCGAGCAGTTGGCGTGCATACAAGGGGGCTTCTACCAGCAATCCAAGGGGGCTCTAATGGATTCCCTTCCCAAATTTCCAGCCTTCCAAGGGGGCGTCTGCCCCCTCTTGTCCTAACGTCGGTCCGCCTCTGCTTCTTCGTATTAATAACTTTTAATAAGAAAAGTTAAAGGCGATTGTTGGAAAATTGAACAACTTTCTAATACTGTACAAATCAAATATAAGAATAATAGATGACCTTTTATGGTCCTCATGTCAAACATGGGAATGAACATCCTCCATTCCCATCTCGTGAGATTAGACACATGAGAATTTCATTCTCAAGAAGTCCATGAATCAAACGAACCCTAAGGTTGGCGGTGATTGTAATTTGTTTGTGCCACATTTTCGCACGGGAAATATTCGCATGTAGATTCTTTCGCCTTTCGAGCTTCCTTCTCTCTCTTCCTCGATTCTTGAAAAATAAACATGAGTAAATAGACCACACCCAAAAAGTGTTGGTCAAAGGCCCTTCGATGCCTAAGTTAGTTCGATTGGATTTTGATAAATATACAACAATTGCTAAAGTGGACAGAGGTCTTCTCTCACGAGGAGAGCTGAGTGGCCGGAGCCGTGTCTGAGGATGGCCGGAGCCGTGTGGAGAAAGAGTCAAGAGTGGTGTGAGAGAAAGAGAACTTTGGCTAGGGTTTTAGAATTACCTTGAATGCTTGGTGTAGCCATGTATTTATAGACTGCTTGTGCGCTAGGGTTTTGCAAAGAATATTTTTATATTATGAAGGAAAACATTCTTTTCCTTAAATGGAGAGATTGAGTCAATTAGGGATTTCAATTAGAATCCTTAATTGATGATCATTATCCTAATTTTGGCCTAAATAATCCCCCAAATAAATGGACTACATTATTGATCTAGGAGATATTCTTCTTGTCCACGTAGCACCTTGCGATTAGAGCGCTAAGATATTTGCTCCCACATAATTCACATTCAATTTATAGCCACACTTTGATGTATTTGTACAATTAATCATATTATAGGAAACTTGGCAACCAAAAAAATCATATTATAGGAAACGTAATTTCCCCTTCAAAAGTGCAACGCATCATGCTCTATCCATCACCTCCATACTTCACTTCCTTCAAGCTTTTACGTAGGATGTCTCATCCATCCATGCATGCAACTAACTATCTCTAAATGGCCCTGCATATCTGGCTAAAAACTTGAAGCCTCTACAAGACTTAACAGAAAAGGGCAAACTTTCATATGAACCTAATCCAGATCCCCTAGCAAAAGAATTGTCTAGAAAAGCAAATTCATGTTTTTGAATGTAGAAAATAAATATTATTTTTTTGCCAAATGAAAGGGAGATTGCATTCATAAATCACACCACAGGGGCATGAGCAATACAAATACAATAGCCATAAGGTTCAATAACTACCCACAAAGGGTTACAACCAATATATGGAAGGATCCAACGACAACATTAAACTCATATGGTACAACTCCATTCAAAGCCACATCGGCATAAGCACCTCAAATGTAGAAAAGCCAAGTATAGAACTCATAACGCAACCTACAAACGCAAACTCTCCACCACAAACATGTATCAAACTCAAACAGAGTTGATGCACTTATTACAGCACAAACAACTCACACACAACTTTGATCCAAAAAAAAAAACATTCACACACAACAAAGCCAACTCAAGCCCACAACTAAGGCTTGGTAGAAGGCAGACCTGAAGAGAAAACTGTGGAGACAAGGACAACACCATCGAAACTGCTGCCACTCAAGAACCTAAAACCAAAAACTAAAAACTAAAAACAAAAAGAACCAACCAAAAAACCCTAGATTCAAGCAGATATGGGCACAAAAATCCAAGATCCAGACAAATCTGGGCACAAAAAACCGTCCACAAAGATCTGGGCACAATGAGCCTCCCCACAACCAAAACTCCAAGTAGTAAATGAGGAAGAAAGGAGGAAGGAGGGAGGGAGAGAGAGAGAGAGGAGGAGGTGGAACAATGACCTCCTCACCCTCCTCACTCATACTGAGACGCTTTGAAGTAGGGTTGAGAGAGAGGTGTGATAATGTAGAAAATAAACTTGAAATTTACACCAATTTCAGAATTTATGGAATGAAATGTCAAATTATGCAGGGGAAAAAACTTGGAATTTGGGGTCATAAATCCCAAAAAGAAACCTTGGAATTTGAGATCATAACATAAATAATTTTATCAAAAATCTAGAGAGAATATTGTTAGGGAAAAAAAACAACTAACGCCACCCATTTATTATGGTTAATAGGTTACCCAAACAAGAAATTCACAAATTCTATAATTTTAGATTAATTCTTTAATACGTTGAAGAACTATAAATCTTAAATTGTCTTTTGAAAGTCTTGTGAATGTCATGGATTGCGGTATATATCAACCTAACCTTACCAACAAATCCAGATAAGAAAAAGTGGGAAACAAATTAAAATGAGTCATATAGTTAAAGCTTTTTCTCAACTTTCTTACAAGAAGTTAGGAATGTTTCCATAGGATGTTTCTATCTATTTTAGCCAACTCATTTATAAAAAGGAAAAACAGACACATTCACGCACGATTCATCGACTCATAATCAGACCATATGACACACTTGCGACTCAACCCAACATAACGTTACAAACCTGCATAACTGACTTTGGTTGCCTTATTTGATTCCCTTTTTCTACTCATCGTCTGTCAAATGACTTTAAACAAATGTGCTTTTTCTAATATATGCTGGAAGGTTAATCAAACCGCATTACTGTTACATATGCCCTACATATTCTCAAGGCAATACATATTGAGTTTAACATTGCAGAAGGGAAAACCCAACTTGCATATCCCTACCTCTGCCTATTTGATCAAAAG